TCATTCCTGACGCAGCCTAAGTTACCTGATGTCAGAAGCAAACCAAATGAAGGAAGAATAACTAGGAGAAAAAAACGAATAAAAAGGTAATATTGTTATCATCCTGACAAGAAATCCACAAGTGGCTCTGAGGAGGATTCCCCATCGGAGGAGGAGGGCACACAAGCCATCCATCTGTCTGATATTCCGAAGTGTGACTGCCTGATGGCCTGGAATCTCACACCATCTTTATGGGTGTAGGTGCTGGTGAACTCTCCCACTGGGTGTGTTCTCCTAGCACACACAGGCTCCGAAAGCCTGGGTGTCTCCGGAGCTCAGAAACCCTTACCTTGAGTCCAGATTAAGAATGTTACTGACTTCACTCAATAGCACCAGTCTGAGAATCAGTGTTGCCCTGGGCTATGTGTCTCCACAGAAACCTGCCTCTCCCCGGTGAGAGAGCAGCTCTGTGGTCCTCACTGGTTCCCAAATAGACTGGGGCCAAGGAAACCTTGCTAAAAAGCATTAATGATTTTGTGGCCTCGCTGGGGTACATAATGCTCTGGCTCCAGCACAGCTCTGCTTCCCCCAATGGTGGGGCCGGGATTGTTCGTTTTGCTGTGATCAAGTGTGTCTTTAGGGGCCCAGAGTGCTCAGTGTTTGAAGGATGGGGAGATGCACCAGACCGGGAACCACTGGGCTCAGCACTGAGGCCATTACTGGGGCTTGGCTTTGGGCTATTTGAGAAAATTTGGCTGGTAACACTGGCCATGTCAATGACCATGATCATCAACAGGGATCTGTGGTAACTCAGAGCTTAGAGCCACCAAGAGAAATCTCATAATACTTAATACCAGAACATGAGTCTTTTTGTGGCCTTTCTCCCGGTCTTTCACTCCCATCTGGACTCTTCAGCGGCCACTCTGGTAATGAACTCCCCTGGGAAGTGCGGTGTGATAGGGCTTGGGATGCAGTGATGGACGCAGGGTTGCATGGTACAACTGATTAGCCAGGCCGAACCCACTTGGAACCCAAGCCGCAGAAGTCACACTTGGGGGGCGGTGTGTGATTTCAGCTTTCCATCGTTAGCAGTACAGGAAGGTGCACCAGCAAGGGTAGGGCAGCTGCTGAGTGCTCGCGCCTTGTGCCTGCCTCCGGAGCCCAGTGAGGGGCGAGTGTGCTGGTGGCGAGCTTAGGCGAGCGAGTCTTCGGACAGTCGTTCATCCTGAGGGAAACAAGTGCCCAGATTGGTGGGGAATTCACGGGGTGGGAGTGGGGGTGTTAGGTGGAGAAGAGCTGCGAAGTAGGGAAAGGCCTGCGCAGGTGGGAGAGAAAGGGCGCTGTCGTGGCCATCCCCAGGGCTGAGGTGATGGGCAGTGATGGGGAGGGCCTGGGGAAGGCCATGTGTGGACACGGTTAACAGGCATGTATTGTGTCTCCTGGTGGCCATCCACTTCTCGTGGCTCCTGCCAGAGCAGAGAGCTTCACTCTTGGGCCCTTTACAAAGAGAGGTTGTTTCCGGAACCAGGGCCAAGGAAGTCCTTGCTTTTTGCTTTTTTTCCCTGCAGTTGGCAAGGATTTGGAATTAGCTTTATCATGCAAATTATATTTGCTGTAACATAATTTTACTTACAGTCCTGGGGCAAAGCTCATATAAAGTCACTCCCCTGTTACCTTGATTAGAATCTGTGTTATGATTCTTGTATTTTCAGTATGCTAAAGTTCATGTGTTTGGTCTTCCTTCAGAATCTAAAGCTGGAAGGAATCGAGGACCTCTCCGACATTCTGGTGAGGCAAGGGGATTGAATTTGCCCGAGAAAAGTTGGCAGAAGGGGGCTCACCACTTCTTCAGTGACCAGGACGTCTCCAGTCTAGGTCCTGCCGTGCGGCGGGCCTGTGGCAAGGCTGTAGCCCACTACCAAAGCACCAGCTGCTTTGTCTGTCGCTCTTTCCTTCTCGCCCTCACCATCTGGGCACCAGCACCCTGAAGCTTTGTCTGTGATTAAAGTTTTCTGCCCTCGGGTCACCACCTGGCAGGGAGGAGCTGGTGAGGATACTGTTCTTGATTAGGGAAACCTATATCCCTACTTTGTATCCATGTCTAGTTTTTGTCTCCTAAGTTGACCTTTGTTGTTTTCCACACTTTTGTGGAAAATAATTTCCCAGTAGGCACTGGTTGTCTTTAAACAGCTATCTAAGCCATGTACATAAAATACATCATATGTGCACTTACAAATGTATATATATTGGTATCCTTAAAATAAAATCATTCTGAATGATAACGCATGGCAAAATATTTGAGTACATTCTGGATAAGTTAGAGCTGGTCCTTTCCCTTAAGAGGGGATGCAGTCTTGTTAGCTAGACGATAGCCACATGTCAGTAAAGGCAGGAAACACTTAAGGGCTGAGAGGATTTGTCTTGTAGCAGAGGAGAGGAGAGATGAACCACTGGCTGGAGGTCACATTTCCAGATTGGGTCCCTTGGACCAATGAATTCTGCTGGAGAATGATGTTAGTAAAAATTGCTAACCTTTGTTAAGTGACTCCTAAGTACCTTCTTTGGATTACTTCACCTAGCCTTCTTGGCATCACTGAGAGGAACATACTTTTATCACTCCCATTTTACAGAGAGAAATAGGGACTTCAAGGTAAAGGAACCTGCCTAAGGGCAGACAGCTGTCAGAGACCGACCTTGAACCAAGTAATGTGCTTCTAAAGTCTTCATTCTTAGCTACTGTGCTATATGCTGCTCAGATCATAGGCTGTGCTTGTAGATGTTGATCCAAGTAATTCTGTCCTTGGCAGGTCATAGGTCTCTACCAGAGCACCCTGTCACCATTCATTAGGTAAATAGAGATCTTGGATCAGAGGCAGTGAAGTATATAATTGGAGATAACTCTTGATAATAAAGAACTTGCTTCTAAGCCAAAAACTGCACAAAACAAAACACACATCCCACAATGTGCTTCCCAAACTGTGCCCAAAATGTTACCTGCTCTGCTATATTGAGAGGGTAGACTTGTGAACATGCTTTAATGGAAAAGGGGGTGATGCTGAGTGAGGATCCATACCTGTCCTGCTGGGGATGAAGCCTCCCACACCTTTCCCCGTGCCAGGTGAGTGCTTTTCCGCCTGCTCTGCTCTTACTCCTGGGAGTGCAACTAGCCAAGCCCGTGCCCTCTCTTGGTGCCGCACACTTCTCTCTCGTCCTGTTTCCCGGGGATGATTCTGTTCAGTAAAGCAAAGCAGAGTCTGTTTGCTCATGTGCTCATCAGGTATACCAGATGCACTGTTCGTATCTGACTAGAGAAGCAGAGTGCTCCTCTCTGGGTTCCACTGTCACCAAATTGCCTTGGATTCTTCCAACAGTCCTGAGTTCATCACATTTTATTCTTTTGGATAAAAACGATTTATAAAAGAAAAGGTTGTGGTTTCATTTGCATACCTTTGTAAGATTTCCACATGAGCATATCCTCAAATCAGGGATGAAAAGAAAAACCTTTGTCAGATTAAATGGGACTGTATTGCATTTGTTTCTCTGTCATAGGCTGTATAGAGCCTCGGTGGGTTGATATCTCAACATTGTTCATTCTGGATTAAGTTTCTCTTGTTTATGTTGTCCCTGCCCCATCTCTGCAATGATAATTCAGACTGTGTGGAGCTGCAGTGGGTGGTGGAGGTGGTTGAATTTCTAATGAAGATAAATTTCCTTTGTCCTTTGGGGATGGCTGACTGGAAAGTTCCCTTCTGGAGGGAGCTCTGCTAAACAAGATTTTTTTTTTTTTAATTTCCCCAGGAAGGAAATAGAACAGTTTCCCAAATTTCCCTGCTTATCAGGAAGCTCTGGGAGCAAGCTGTTCCAGATCTTCTGAATCCAAGCACAGAGTACTTTTTCATAACAGAAATCTTTTCCCTAACAATAGAGATTGTTTTCCCTGGATAAGGTTGAGTGGGATTCATTTACAACTGGGTTTTCCAAAGTGAAATCTGGTGACAGTTCCTTAGGAATTAAAAATACTGCAGAACCAGAGAACAGGGAGGCCATTCCCTGGAAGGAAATGCTAAGGAATCAGAGCTGCCCTCCCTCTTCCTGCTGAAGGAGCGATCAGGACACAAAAACGTAATTGGAGGAGAGTGGGCACCTGAAGACCTAAAGGTGAAAAGTCCCCCTGTGCCAGGAAGAAATGTGGCCAGTGTGGGAAAAGAAATGAAGCCACTGGGGCTGAAATGCTCAGGTTCACCCGTAGATGTCCTTGGCAAAAACAGGAGCGAACTATTACTTTGTCAAAATGGAAGCCCCGTTTGGGACACCATCTCCTATTCTTACGGATAAACAAGAGCACTGAATTCAGGATATTGCCTTAAAAGTGTCCCTCTCTGTCTCCATCACCTCCTTTAAGATAAAGATGAGAGGAGCGCCTGGGTGGCTCCATCATTTAAGCGACCGCCTTCGGGTCATGATCGTGGAGTCCCGGGATCGAGTCCCACATCGAGTCCCACGTCGGGCTCCCTGCTCAGCAGGGAGTCTGCTTCTCCCTCTGACTCTCCCCCACCCCATGCTCTCTCAGATTCTCTCTCTCAATAAATAAATTTTTAAAAAATCTTAAAAAAGATAAAGATGAGAGTTTCTGTAAAATAAAGGTGGGAGTTGTAACAGTGAGAGTCTAGTCAGGAGACGGAAACCTGTAACGTGAACCAAGAACTTAACAAAGAACTGTTGACTAGGTGTGTAGGGCATCTCAACTTATCAGGTAGCATCTACGGGAAGCAACCACCCCACAGCGGGAAAACAAAAGGAACCAAAAGCAAAACATCAAAAAGATTTCAAGAGGTCTCTGCAGTGCAGAAACTGCCCCCCAAGAGGAGGGGTGCTGCTCAGCTGGCGCTGGCGTCTGATGAAGGATGGGGTGTAGCTGGTTCTGCGCACGCGCATGCTGGAGGCTCTGCAAACTGCCGCTGTAGGAAGGAACTGCCCCCGCCCATACGAAGGAGAGCCGCTGGGGTAGGGGGGCGCTCACAGGCTTGGGAAGCTGACAAATGGGAGCAAGTGCTTTTTTCTCCAGCCCTGCAGTCTCCTTCACGTGCCTCCCCTTGGCATAACCTAACTGGGAGTGGCTGGCAGAGCAGAAATGTGGTTTGCAGGGTGGCCCAGAATAGAAGGTAGGTTTGGAGCTGAAGGATGATTACTTACTTCATAGCTGGCACAGGGGAGGTCTCATCACTAAGGATTCTAGAATCCTTCCTTACTATTTTTGTTTGAAATAATATTTATTTATATTTGTTCACCTATTTGCAGTAAGGTGCTGGTAAATGTTCAACTGACTCTGAAGGTGAGGCCAGGGAGGCCTTGAGGAAGAGATGGTGGCCCATCTGCCTTGGAAGGGTCAAGACTGGCCAAAGGTGTTCTTGGCTGACAAAAGAGCAAAGGTGTGGAGTGGGGGAATGTACAAGCGTGGCGGGTACTATAGAGACTGAGGGTAAAACAGAAGAAATCTCCCCAAATTAGAGTGAAAATGCCAAGGGCCAGAAAAGAGTGGAGAGAAATTACAAGGGTTGCCAAGTAGGTCCCACATAGGACAATTAGGGGGCCCAAAAAGAACAGAGAAAATGGAGAGGAGGAAATCATGCCGAAGAAGGAATAAAGCCTGTATCCTGTAGCTGGAGGACATGAGTTTTCAGACTGAGACTGAGTGTCCAGCACATGGATAAAAATGAACGGACACCAAGGTACTTTATCATAAAGTTTCAGAACACTCAGGACAGAGCATTCTACAAGTTTCAGGACAGAAACAGGTCACACACACAGGATCAGGAAGCAGGGTGTCAGCCTTCTCAGCATTGCACTAGAAGCAAGAAGATAAATGGTTTCCAAATCTAGAATTTTATACTTAGCCAAACTACTAAACAAGTGTGAGAGTAGAATAAAGACAGAGTTTGTGACATGCAGCGTTTTAAAAAATGACAACAGGGGCACCTGGGTGGCTCAGTCGGCTAAGCGTCTGCCTTCTGTTCAGGTCATGATCCCAGGGGTCCTGGGATCAAGCCCTGCATTGGGCTCCCCGCTCCGCAGGAGGCCTGCTTCTCCCTCTCCCTCTGCCTGCCGCTCTGCCTACTTGTGCTCTCTCTTATCTCTGTCAGATTAATAAATAAAATCTTAAAAAAAAAACAATGACAACGAAAACCCCTCACATGTACCCTTTTCCAAGAAGCTGTATTTGTCCATACCACGACCCTGCTAGATGCCCAACTGCCCCGAACCTTGTGCTTCCAGGCCTCCTTTGTGGCCTCACCTGCCCAAGGCCTGCAGTAGCCCCAGAGACGCTCAGGGGAACTGAGGCCAGCCTCTGATGCAGGCATTCTGCTTTGACCTTCTTCTGCTGCCTCTATCTATTGGGACCATATTGCCCTCTCTTTGCATGGCAGGGTATTGTGTTGCTACTCATTTTTTCAAAACTGAGCAATATGTTGTTTCGAGATCATACATAAGTAGTAAGACTATGAAGAAAAGCAAGGGCCTGTCTAAAAAAAAAAAAAAAAACTCAGGGAAGTGGTTATCTCTGGTGGGGAGGGGGGAGAAGAGCAATTGCAGAGGATCCTCAAGGGGCTTCTGAGCTACTGGTGTGATAGGCATGCTGCTGTGTGCTTTCTCTTCCTATTTCCTTGGCACATTGGTCTCTGGCAGGAATCAGCATTCCAAGCCTTCATTCAGCCTGCCCCAGCTGCTGGTATCTGCCCCTGAGAAGAGCTCACGTGTGGTGACCCTCCTCTCACCGGGCCCAGTCACAAGTGCATGACAAGTGCTTGTTCCATGCTCGTTGGCTTTTTAAAAAGTTGGTTGGATACACAGTTAAGAAGGCTACAGTGCCTCAGGAAAAAAATCACTGGGGCTTGGGATTTGGATTTTGTCCCAGCTGGCAGTCTGCGGCTTGGGGAGATTAACGGGCAGAGACTTGGAACTGTCAAGAGGAAAGAAAATCAGGGCCCAGAGAGGAAGGTGGGCAGGGGTGCGGTGAGATGCAGTGCAGACATGACCTGTTTGCTCTTTCTCTCTTTTTCTTTGTTTCTTTATTTTAAAGTTTATTTAAGTAATCTCTACGCCCAACATGGGGCTCGAACTCACACCCCCGAGATCAAGAGTTGCATGTTCTTCTGACTGAAGCAGCCAGGTGCCCCTGTTTTTTCTTTTAAAAGCTCTATTCTGCAATGGAAACTGGAGGGAATCGGATAGTAGGGAGGGGGAAGCCTAACAGAGGAGCTGCCCGGTACAAGGAGGAGACTCATCTTGTTACAACCGTCTGTCCTCCATCTGTGGCGGAAGCCAGTCCTTGAAACTGCAAGCCACCAGCTGCCTCGTTAGGAACGGATCCATCACAGAACCAGTATGAGCCGCACCTTGATGTGTGACTGGCTTTACAAGGAGTCTACCTTATATATAGTTAGGACATTATTTCATTTCTCAACAAGCCTATGGCAACTTGCACCCCAAAATGAGTTCTCAGGAGGCCCTGCAAATCAGTCACCCGGTGAGGTCACATACTTAGCCTAACACTGTGGCCCCAATACACAACATGCTGGCACAGCCACCCAACTTATAGCCGTACTACTGGATACGCCTAGTCCTGGCAAACTGTCATCTTCCATGTGAGGGCTGGAGTTTGGAGAAGAGCCAACAGCCATTCAGAACCAAGTTTTGGGTGGAAGGGCCATCAGCTAAGACCATTTATAATAAGAAAGCAAGGGTATGCCAAAGAATGAGACAGCTTTCCTGTGTTTGATCACAGACTGCCTCCAGACACGAAGTACTTCATAAACGCTTTTGAGAAATGCAGCTCTGTCGGATAGTCCTTTACCCTTACTATTTCCTGGTGGAGTTCTAGGTGCCCAGCACTCCTAAGGAGTGGGTAAAACTATCTCAGTTCAACAGGGGATGCACCTGAGGCACTAAGAACTGACTTAAGAATACACAGCTAGGAAGGGGTGAAGCTGAGATTTGACCGCCAGCAGCCTGACACAAGAGTTCATGCTTTTAACCACTACATCAAACTGCCTCCTGGTTAATACAAGGGCGTTGCCTCCTACAGCAAAGACCTGAAAGGGAGCAAAGCCTGTTTAGAGACGTACACCGGACGAATTAATTAGAAAATCAATCTTGTCACTACATGGTTAAATCTTAAACATTCATTTGCATAGAATGTTTTGTTTGCTGGTGCAGCCCTGGAACCTAGTGTGATGACTGGCACGGAGACAATAAAATTTTGCTAAATGAAGAAGTAAAGGAATGGAGTAGTTCAAAAGTGTGCATGAGTGGGTGATCTGATGTTCTAGGCAAATGGAGAGGAAACTACCCTCTACCGAATCCCTTCTCCATGTAGCACATGGTGTTTACTGGGGTCATTCAATTTAGCCTCACTCGAACCCCAGAATGTGAATGTTCAGTCCTAGATCAGGAGGCATTTCACCATCTGGTACGCAAGTTACCCGGGGCTTTTTGGTGCCCCAGCACTCCTCTTATCCAACCCCAGGAGTTCAGGCGACCTAAGGGCTTCCTGGACACACTAGAGACAATCACCAAGTCCCTTTGAATTTCGCTCACCTTTCTAACATTCCATTCCCCCTGCCTGTGTCACCCCTTTCAAGCACACCTCATCTCTTGCTCTGCCTCCTTCAATAGCCTCCCAGCTGTACTCCCTGCCTCTGGTACCCCCTACACCCCACTCTCTCACCTACACCTTACCTAGCACTATGGGAGTCACCTTTCTCCTGCCCAGCTCTGTGAGGAAGCCCCTATACAGAGGGTCTGGAATGAGACAGCCTGGCTTTGAGGGAGGTGAGGCCAGGCAAGTCAGTTATCTTCTCTGGGCCTCGATTTCTTCATTGCTAAAATGGCGGAAATATATTTAATAGGGCTTTATGAGGGTCTTATAATGAGACCATGTATGCCAAAGTGGTACTTTGAAAATGCTTGCCATGTGATAAACAGTAAGTTTTTGCTTAATCTAAATGTTATTCCCTCTAATCAAACACCTGCTATAAAGCTGCAAAAAACAAACAGCCCTCCCCCAGAAATCTGTATGGCTTCCTATGGTCTCCTAGAATAAAGTAAAAACTCTTTACAATGGCATTATGTTTTCAAGAGATTCTAAATTTTATCTGTCCAAATTTTATTGCATTGTTTCATATCTTACATTTGCCCTTCCCTCAACTGAATTGAGTTCCTAACAGTTCCTAGGACATGTTTTTGTCTTCCCACCTTCATACTTTGCTTCTTCTGTATTCCCTTGAAATCTCCCCCACTCCTTGCCTCTTCTGAAATCCTAGCCATCCTTTACGACTGTGAACTCTTGCTCATTCATGCCCCTGGATCAAGCGACTTCTCTGATCTCCCTCAGCGCCCCCTTGTGGCGCTTACTGCACAGGTTTTTGTTTATTTGTTTATTTTTGTTTTTTTGGGTTTTCTTTTTTGCTTTGTTTTGTTTTTGTTTTTTTAAGGAGCTAGAAGTTTACTGAATACCCTGCAATGGAGCAGCGGGTGGGACACAAAAGAGAGACTTTCTGACAGAGGCAGTGCTGGGGGGCTGTAATTAAGGGGAGAAGGTGAGGAGGTATGAGAACATACGGAATTTTCCTTTTTTGGTAACTTACAGTTTTTTTTTAATTTATTTAATTTATTTTTTTAAAGATTTTATTTATTTATTTGACAGAGAGAGAGACAGAGACAGAGAGGGAGAGACCGATAGAGCACAAGCAGGGGGAGCTGCAGGTAGAGGAAGAGGGAGAAGTGGGCTTTCTGCTTGCTCTCTGCTGAGCGGAGAGCCCTATGCCAGGCTTGATCCCAGGACCCCAGGATCATGACCCGAACCGAAGACAGATGTGTAACTGACTGAGGCACCCAGGTGCGCCAGCTTTTTTTTTTTTTTTAATTTTAAGGGTTTATTTATTTGAGAGAGAGACAGAGAGAGTGGTGGGGGGTGCAGAGGGAGATGGAGAGAGATAATCTTGAGTAGACTCCCCGCTGCGCATGGAGTCTGATGTGGGGATCAACCTCACAACCTTGAGATCATGACCTGAGCCAAAACCAAGAGTTGGACGCTTAACTGACTGAGCCAGCCAGACACCCCCACACCCTCCACTTAGCTTTTTAATTGCAGTTACTGGTACATTTCATTTCTCCAAGACTATAACTTCTCGAAGGTTCTAACTGCATCTCGTTTTTCTCTGAGTTCCTAAAAGTGCTCACAAAGTTCAGTGCACATATAATATTTGAGAGGTTACTAAATGAAGTGACAGGTCTTGAGGTACAGGAATGCAGGGCCCAGGAGGCTGGGTAACCCTGTGTCCAGGCCTGGCAGTAGAGAATATTGAATTCTCAATCTCTGGAGAGAGGCGGCACAATGGGCACACATAGACTGGAAGAAAATTAAAGCTGAATCCAATGTGGTAATGAACGCCCCCCACCAAGGGTCTGTATTTGTCAGGGTGCTTCGGGTCCTTCAGCTTCCTGGGGATAATCCTGTTAAAATTAACAACAACAACAACAACAACAACAACAAGGGGTGCCTGGGTGGCTCAGATGGTTGAGCATCTGCCTTCCGCTCGAGTTGTGGTCCCAGGGTCCTGGGATCAGGTCCCGCATCAGGTTCCCTGCTCTGCAAGAAGCCTGCTTCTCCTGCAGCTCCCCCTGCTTGTGCTCTCTCGCTCTCTCTGTAAAATAAGTAAATAAAATCTTAAAAAAATAAGATGTATGATTCAGTGATTTTTAATTTGCATTCAGAGTTGTGCACCTATTCCCATAATCTAACTCTAAAACACTTCCATCACCCCAATGAGAAAACTTGTTCCCATGAGTAGTCACTCCCCATTCCTCCTCTGCTTCATGGATTTGCCCACAGCCCAGGCTTGACTGTGAACATGAATACTACTCCTCTAGAAACACAGAGCAGAATCCCTGAAATATTTTTCAGATTCTTTTGTGTCAGGTGGGTGAACCACAGGATGGCCACAAAATAAAAGTCAGTATTGAGGATTCAGATTAAATAACCTTCAGTGAGCCCCCACCTTGAGTCAGACAATTCACTGGTGCTTTTAAACACACTACCTCGTTTAATCACAACACACATAGGGGGTAAGTTTTACTGCCTCAACTTTAAGGATGACAAAATGATGCTCACCCAGAGAGACTAGGTAGCTAGCTACCTCAAAGTCACAAAGCCACTGAGGAGCAGAGCTGCCGCAAGGACTTTACTGTCCCTTGGAAGGCCCAGGTAGACAAAAACACTGTTAGGGCTGCAAACTACATGCCTACAGGGGCCAGGTATGAGAAAACGGGAGCAGTGGGAGGAGCATGTGTATCCTCTAAGAACAGCAAGTTGCTGATCAGCACTAGGCAAGAAGGCCATGTAGGAATGAGGGTCTCATGTGGCCAGCATTCTGATTTCTTCATAGATGCTAAAAGTCCAGATTTTCCAAGAACTATCCCAATTTTTAAGTAAGGAGTCAATGGACAGCCAAACAAAATACCCCTGCAGGTCAAATTTGGCCCAGAGACTGCTATAGAGGATGAATTCCTTTGGCTTAATAGTATCTTCCCTTTCGTTCCTCTTTCAAAAGCGAACAGGCTCTTAAGTGAGGTAACCGTTCAGCTCTGAGTTGCCATTCCATAGGTGAGAACTGGTTGGTTGATTGGGGTGGAAAGGCAGCGGTGTCTCCTGGCGCTGGGGCCTTTGCTGCTGAGGAAGAAATTAAGTCACTGCCTTCAGGGAGCTGGTCCTGCCAAGAGGGCAGCTGCCTGGGCTCTGCGAAGGATTGAGACAAGCATTGGGATGCAAATAGGAGGCCCCGGCCGGCCCAGAACAGGGTCTTGCTGACACGCGTGGGTTTTAGGTGGAACAGGTAGGGGACAGAGTTTTCTTTTAATTGTTAAGTACAGAATTGAAACCCAAAGGATGATTATCGGTAATTCTCATACACACACTCTTAAATCGCTCGCTGGGTGCTTCCATTTCCCCAATTGGAAAAGGAGCTAGTTAGCACCCCTCGCCAGCACAGCTCACAGGACGGTGGCCAGAGTCAGAAAGAAACGGGCAGAAAAGCGCTTGGGTTAGGAGAGGGGGCTGAGCAGGCCGACGTTTCGCTGCGATGTGAGGGGTCCTGGAAACAATGCGACGATGGAAGCCTATCCACAGTGGGCCTGAAGTCGCAGGAGGTGGCCGGAACCCGAGTCGGGGATCACAGGATTCGCGGGGGAGGGCCTCGGCCCCGCCCACCCCGCCCAGAAGGCGGTGGGTCCGCTCCGCGCTTTCACCGGGACACGCCCCACCCACACTTCCGGCGTGTGACCCGGAAGCGGAAGGGGGCACGTTTCTTTCTCTCTCCTGTGCGTCAAACCTGCGTTGTTGCGGCCGGGCGGGAGCGGGCAGCAACGGCTTTTGGTAGCGTGTGGTCAGGGGAGCGGAGCTCTGAGATCCCGGAGCAGCCGCGGCCATGGCGGATGTGACCGCCCGTAGCCTGCAGTACGAGTACAAGGCGGTACGTGTGGGCTCGCGGAAGGACCCAGGCTAGGGAACCCACTGGGGAGCGGGAGGCGGAGGGAGTTTTAGTCTGAAGGCCTGCAGGTGAACCACGAAAGCGGAGACGAAGGCAGATCCGGGCGAAGGTGGGGGTACACGACGACATGAATAAGCCCACTAGGGTCTAGGGCGGGCGGGATGGGCTAAGAGTTCTGCTAGGAGTGTTTGTTCCCTGCCCCCTCGGCGCCATACCCGCCCCCTTCTGTGTTACCCCCAGCGTGCCGACACTTTTCCCAGGTGTGGGTTATTGCGGGCAGTGTTAGGAGCAAGGATCGTTCAACTGATTTGATCGCTCTTTCCTCATGTGCAGTTGTGTGGCGCTCTTTCATTTTAAGGAAAATCTCTTATTCCGAATGTGCTTATCAGCACTTAGTTGCTGCATTTCTTACTATGATATCACTCCTGTGATACAGGAAGTGGCCCTAGTCGTGTCAGAGCTTGAGTAACATTGTGATCTTTTCAGAACTCCAATCTTGTGCTCCAAGCTGACCGCTCTCTCATTGACCGGACCCGCCGGGATGAACCCACGGGAGAGGTGCTGTCCCTGGTTGGGAAGTTGGAGGGCACCCGGATGGGAGATAAGGCTCAACGGACCAAACCACAGATGCAGGAGGAAAGAAGAGCCAAGTGAGTACCAAGGAGAAAATGATTTTTCTTGGGATCCAAAATCCACCGTTCCTTGAGTATTTGAGCAGTTTTTGCTGAAATGTTT